GCAGTGGATGATAAAGCTTCATCCCAGAGCATGTCTAATTTTCAGTCCAAAAAGGGAATCCCAAGCCATAAATTTTAGGAGCCGTTTTAATTTATTTTTCATGTGTGGTTGTTGAATTTTTGTTTTCATTCCTTTGTCTTCTTCAATGCGCTGTCACACAGTCTCTCTAAGAGACACTGCCTATATCTGTGAGGGGTTCTTTATCAACTCTTCGAGGTACAGGTTGCATTTCTGGAACAATGAACAAGATGACAATTCTCTGCTGAAATTGTCTTTGTCTTTGATGAGGAGATTATCCACCAAACTATTTACAACATAACGGCAAGTTAAATGGCATCATTGCATTCAGCATTTGGTTCGTAACATTATTTTCATACCAGTTTACTCTGCATATCCTGAAAATATTTTAGATGCCAGTGGATATGGAAAATTCACTTTTGCAACATTAATGAGGTATGTTGTAGGGAGCATGAATCTCTTAAATGAACAAACCCCAATGAGCCATTCATTGTTGCAAAGAAAAAAAAATAATCAAATTTACATAAATACAAAGCAAGAGTTGAAAATCAAGTTCATTTGTACCCTGAGAAATCTCCTCCTTATAAGATTTCATATAGCGATCTACTTTCAAAAAGGCACAAAGCATATAGGGGCATTTGCATTTTAGAATTACCTCTTCCATCCTGCTTTCTAACCGCAATGAGAACGAGAAAGTTGGAGCAGAATGGATAGGTGGGTGGTAATGAAATTGGAAGTGATTCAAATAGGCTCTTAATTTCAGCCCAGCATTTATGAAATATTAATGATGAAGGGGGAAAAGATGAGTTACAGTGAAATATCCCTTAAGTAAGAAGAGCAGAAACATGTTGGCAAGCAGAGTATCACAATTTAAGCTGAAATCCCTCCTGTTGATATTAGTACTAAAAACCATTTATGCTGAGCAGTTTTTAAAAGCAAAGCCATTTTCACACAAACTTCTCCTCCCTCTGGGATTTAAAGAAATTAAAATGTGTCGTACACCTCTGCATCTATTCAGGCTCTTTCGAAAGTGAAGCTGAATATTTGAATAGGTGGCCTTTACATGTTTGGATATAAGACTGTTTGCTTAATGACTGCACATGTGGACAGAATGAGTTGCCTTAGTGGTTTCTGCAAGTTGAGTATGGTTAGCCTCCACCTGTTAACGCTGCAGGATACCGTCTATAATGACAGGCCATTGTGCTCACTGCACCTCACAATCAGCAACATATGAACAGCAGTCTAGCAGCCATTAATGACACACTGCAGCTCTGCAATGGAGCATATTACAACTAAAGGAATTTACTAACAAATCCTCCTGGGTTTTGAGTGTTAATGTATCTGCAATTTCATCTGAATTGACTCTCCAATCAGGAATGCATGTAAATTGATAAAACGGGTATATCTTCTGCTTCCGAGGGGCATTTGCATTTTAGAATTAAAAATGCATTTTAGAATTAAAAATGCATTAAAAATGTTAGTATCTGTACACAGATACTAACAAAAATACATTTTAAATCAAAAGTTCAAAAATGTTCCCATGTGCTCATTGAGTTCATTGATTTTTGACACATATATGAATCATCATCCAATAAGTTTCATTTTCAAAATATAACCCAAAGTTACTGCTTTATCTGGAGATTTTACCGTATTACCAAATTCAAACGTCAGTCACAAATAATTATTTATTTATTTATTTTTTATCAAACCTAAAAAAGGGTAAGTTCTGTACCATTTATTGCTTGGTAATATCTATTTTATTTGTATTTTGTTATGGTTCACAGGTTATTTTTTCACACCAATATCAAATGGACATTCTAGAATATAAGGTCCATTCTAGAAGATGTACCTTCTAGAATATAAGGTCCATTCTAGAAGATGTACATTCTAGAATATAAGGTCCATTCTAGAAGATGTACCTTCTAGAATATAAGGTCCATTCTAGAAGATGTACCTTCTAGAATATAAGGTCCATTCTAGAAGATGTACCTTCTAGAATATAAGGTCCATTCTAGAAGATGTACCTTCTAGAATATAAGGTCCATTCTAGAAGATGTACCTTCTAGAATATAAGGTCCATTCTAGAAGATGTACCTTCTAGAATATAAGGTCCATTCTAGAAGACGTACCTTCTAGAATATAAGGTCCATTCTAGAAGATGTACATTCTAGAATATAAGGTCCATTCTAGAAGATGTACCTTCTAGAATATAAGGTCCATTCTAGAAGATGTACCTTCTAGAATATAAGGTCCATTCTAGAAGATATAAGTTCCATTCTAGAAGATGGACCTTCTAGAATATAAGGTCCATTCTAGAAGATGTACCTTCTAGAATATAAGGTCCATTCTAGAAGATGTACCTTCTAGAATATAAGGTCCATTCTAGAAGATATAAGTTCCATTCTAGAAGATGGACCTTCTAGAATATGAGGTCCATTCTAGAAGATGTACCTTCTAGAATATAAGGTCCATTCTAGAAGATGTACCTTCTAGAATATAAGGTCCATTCTAGAAGATGGACCTTCTAGAATATAAGGTCCATTCTAGAAGATGGACCTTCTAGAATATAAGGTCCATTCTAGAAGATGCATCCTTCCTAAAGGTGAAAAGAAAATAAAAACGGGAGGCCGCGGATAATATAGAAAACTTCCGGAGTGCAATGGTCCCGTTTCCAAATAAGGTATGACACTGACACTGGTCAGTCCCCGTCCCTTCTTGTTTGCTGCAACGAGGTTCTTCTCAGTCAGTCACTGCCCTCCCTATGCATTGCTACAGTATGGGCAAAGATGGAAAAGAGTCATTCTATTGTGTGTAGGACCACGCATGACAGTGACTGCTTCGCAAGGCAGTCACTGCCCTTCCTTATGTAATGCCATGGCAGGCCGCAAATATTTTAACAATTTCTTAAAAAGATCAAAGTGTAACCTCTACACAAATAACTTTAAGAGTAAGGAGGGCTTATACATGCCCACCACTTCACAGCTCATGCTCTGGTTAAATTTGTTTTCCAGACCCAAGAAATATAGTGAAACAAATGTGTGTTTCCACATATCTGACAGATTGAGTATGATGTGGAGAGGCAATCAGGTACAAGAGAAAACACTGTATCCCATCCCCCTGACAATAGCTGAATTAAATAGACTTATCAGACCCAGAGGAAATAAATTGGGTGAGATTCAGCCTCTTTTGTCTTGGCTACCATTCAGCTCTGGCTGCTGTAGGCCTCCGTTTTCCTCTACATGCGACATCCCATCGTTTACAACAAAGAAGAGAAAATAAGAACATTTGGAAGTGATGGGAGAAAAGAAATGTGTATAACTCTTTGTCAATCTGATGATACAAATCTGCATCAATCCTGAAATATTGCATTGGTTTACTTCAGCCGATGGTCCAAAAGTCTCAATGAGTTTCTCCTCAAGGAATTAGACATTCAGTCACTCTGAAATATTACCAGCATATATTTGTAATGCTGCATGAATGAAATGTTACCCCTGATTAATTAAAACTAGAAACATTCATCTGGAAATGTCATAAGTCTACTTAGTATCCACCAGGCATTCTGAAGGTAAAGACGAATGAAAAGACGTACAAGCAAAATGCCATCTCTACAGGGTTTGCAGAAGGTAACTCTGATATCTGCATCCATGGCTCACTTTATACCTTGTTAAATTTAAGATCAACTTGTTCTTCGAGAGCAAAGAAGGGAGAAGTTGGGGTGTGGGGTGTCAGGGGATTAGTAGGAATGACACAAAGCGTCAGTCAGAACATTTGCTTCCAGGGTGGTTGGTACTTTAAACTCCAATCACACACACGCACACACACCACCTGTTCTCCCAGACATTTTAATCTGAACCTGCCTGACCCAAAGAAACCACAGCATAGCCCAATCCTGCTTGAAGAGAGAAAATGTGTGTGGCCTACAACCACAGAATGGCTTTTAGTTTCACTTATTCGGATGGGTTTTTAATTTTGTTGCAAATCCTCCCCCCCCGACAAAAACCGCATTGTGCTCTCTGTTATTACATTTAGCTATGTGCTGACTATATGTCGTGGAGTCGGAATTTACTGTGAATGAACAATTGGCAGAGCCAAGCCCGTATGCATGTGCTGGTGTGCTTGTGACCGCAATGCACTACTTTTGATTGGATTAGTTTGAAAGAGACATCCATCCTTTTAGTCTCAACCCTCCTCCCCTGGTAAGGGGCTGCATTATTGATCCTGAACAGCTCCATTTCCCTTCTCTGTCCAAACCTATTAGATGCTCAGCCTTTAACAGCCTGGCCTAATCCTTCTTTCTTATTTCTGTGTTTCCATCTTGCCATATTTTTCTGTTTTTCTTTTCCCTTTGTGCATCTTCTGTCAATCTGCTTGTCTTATCTTGAGCTACACACAAATCTCTTTTTTCTCTCTCTTATCTTCTTTATAACTCGTCCAGGACCCGGTGCTCTCTGGTGTTTCACTGTTGTGAGCAGCACCTCTGTCAAGTTCTTTATTTGCTTCTTCTCTGTTGCTTTTTGATAAAAACTGACATTTGGTACCAAGTGAATTTAAGTATTTAGGAAGAGTCGATTGCTATTCGCTCATTTTATGTTTGGGAAAATTGTTTGTTTTATTGATTTTACAAAGAAAAAAATACATCTGGCAAAATGGAACCTCCCAGCTTAGATGGTGACAGATTGAGCACAGCTAATTGTGAAATGAAGCATATCAAAGGTATTCTTTTTTCCCCATAAGATTTCTACAAGGCTTTCAAATAATGAATAAACCTATTGCCTTGGAAATATTTTATAAGGGGGGCACACTTTAGATTTATTTTGAATTATGCTGTCAAAATTAAATCATCTCGCCTACCCTTCTACATTTTTGAAATGTCTGCCAGCATAGATTTAAAACAAACAAAAAGAGAAAATATAAAACAACAGAAGCAATCTTTTTTTTTTCCCCCTCTGCTTGGTCTCACATTGATGTGTGTGTTTCTGCAGGCTCTTTACCCCAGCCCAGAGGAAGGCTGGCAGATCTACAGCTCAGCACAGGACGCAGATGGGAAGTGTATCTGCACCGTGGTCGCACCAGCCCAGAACATGTGTAACCGCGACCCACGCAGCAGGCAGCTCCGCCAGCTCATGGAGAAGGTGACAGCTGTCAATAACACACTCACTCCAAGACCCAACTGTCGCCCACACAGACACACACAAACACAAACTGAAACTTTGCACTTAATGTCTGACGCCGTCTGTCACATGCAGGCTGCTGGATTCTGCCACCTCCTTCATCATGTAACTCATTAGCCATTATTTGGAAGATTGAGAACTTTTCCAAATGAAAGACAAATTAATAACTTCACTGGAATATATAAATTGCCTTCCTAAAGTTCTGATACCCTTTTTCTGTTTTATTCTTTAAATTAGAACCTCATTTTAGGATGATTACATGTAATTGCATTGGCAAGTTCTGATATAAAGTGTCTTACAAAAATCTTAACATCTCATGAATTTTATCGCATTTTATCACCACAAATCTCAGTTTATGCTGAAAACCTACTTAAAGAAGCACAGCGTTGTGAAGTGAAAAGAAAATTATACATAGTTCTTCATATTTTTAGAAATACTTTACGCACAGTCTTGTTTAGTTTGAAAAGTTTGCGGTTGTGTCATACTCCATTTTAGAATGATGTGTAGCACAGTGTTTTCAGGACTTCAAAGCTTAAGATATTGTTTTATTTAAGTCTGCTTTTGAAGTCTCCACAGCTTCCTGTCTGTCAGGCAGGTTTCTTGGTCTTCATGATGTTGATTGTTCATAAATGTTTCTTCACAGAACAGCTGTAAATATTAAAGGACAGAATTAAACATGTGGACTTCAATAAGTCATTTCTGAAATGGTTAAACTAGATTTTATTGACAGATGTCAGTATAGAGGGGAATGAATGTATATTTTACATTTTTGTTAAGAAACAAAATAAAAATCAAATACTTCCCTACACAACTCCGCTATTTTAAATTGATTTTTCAGATAAAATTCAAATAAAATACCTCAAGGCATGTAGCTGAAATACCACAAACTGGGAAGATGTTCAGAATGAAAACTTTTGAAAGAAATTGTATGTCAGAATGTCCACATGCAATGTGGAACAAAGATCCTAATTTGTATGCATTTTTGTTTTCATAAATGTTAATTTTGACACAATTTAACAACTGCAATTTACAAATCAGTCAGCATGACAAATTTTAATGAAAATATTTGTGTACATATTTATGCAGGCCTGCAAGGTTTAATATATGCCTTCTGACCTACATGGCAGAGTATGCAAATATTACAGCCTGTTAGGAATCCACTCATTCACAAGTTGACAGATCCAGCCATGAACTGTTGAGTCTGAGTCTCCAGACCTGGAGGCTGTACACCTACGTATTTTCATTCTTTAGAAGCTAAATGATAGAAACCTGAGACGCCAAATACATTCAAACAGATTGGTAAGACGTGAGTCACTCTGCCTGAGTGCAGGTACTTTGGACAATTACAACAGGTGCGCCTGTAAAAGAGAGGCTCCACAGGTTACGTACAACTAGAAAGAGAGCAGAGAAGTGGAGGAGGAGCTGAGGGGATGCCACTAACATTGATATTGTCCTGTGAGAAAAGATGGAGGTAAACAGATGCAGAAAAGGTTCCCAAGGATACCTGATGGATCAATGAGGCGCGTGCGTTCACATAATGCATTCATCCTCATTGAAGTTTGCCTCTTCCCCTCTGACAGTCTCTGTGTGCTGATGTTGAAAGAACATGTTTACAGAGACAAAATCCACTCGCTAACACACTTCACAAGCAACATATTCGAACAGAAAAAGCATATCATAGCACAGAAACAGACTGACGAGAGAAACCGGTGTCATTGTAGCTTCTGAAAGTCTCAGGAAAATGTACATTTCTGTAAAACTAGTTGAGAAAAGCTGATAAATATGGCAGTGTTGATTCAGAAAAATGCACAATGTTCCTTTAAAGAGGAACAAAAGCGCTGGTGGATCACACAATTGTCATATAAGATGTTTTTCAAATACTGTGTAGGTCATTAAAACTATCTTTTTTTGCAGTAGCTTTTTCTATTCATTTATGAACCTTTTAATAATATTCTAACTTTTTGAACATGACACTACATTCTGCTTAGTATTTTTACCCATTCTATGAGTGTATGGAATGTTATTTGTTATATTAAGCTCTAAATTTACTCAACATGTAGAATTACTGCAATGCCTCCCTTCTGAATAATGCACCATAAACCATTTAAAGCAAGCTTCAGAAAAAAAAAACTGCTATATATAGGATAAGATATGCTCTATAATTTATTATTTATCACTGTATTGCATTTTGTTATAAAATGTGGGTGTTATTACTGTGTGGGTCTGTAAGCTTTCCCTGCTCGGTGCTGCCTGAAGCAGACTTAATGAGGACACCTAGGGTCAGCACTATTTCAGCTTCACCCAAATGAAAGCTGCAAATTAAAAGGCTCTGTGTGAGTCTGCGCAAATGTGCGGTCCCAACAGAGCATCGTCCACCAAGACACCCTCATTTGAACCCAGAGCATGAGTGGGAATTGTTTGAGTTCAGATCCACAAAAGGCTTTTCCTGACATGGAGAGCCAAGGGTATGTTAGCAATGTCAAAACTGCCCTCTGTTCAAAGAATGTAAAGTAGGCTTGTTGAAAATCTTTATTCAGCTCTCAGTAAAGCCAGATAAAGAGCCTGACCCTGAAGGATGGCGGCGAGGCAATACTCACCGCAAATCTTTGAACATCTCATCCCCTTTTGACCTCACTGTCTGGCTGGCTGAATTGAGATTAAATCAGATGAAATATGAGGCTGTGGTTAGACATACACACAAACAAGCCGATGCAGAATGAGTCATCACACTGGGCATGAAGCAGACACACCTGCGACTGTAAATCTGGGGCACTGACGATGAGGATCGTCTTTTTATGAGCGAGGATGGAGGAGTCCCGAATCCTACAGCAGGAAGTTGACAGAGAATTTGCTTAGTCTCCAGGCTGCTGGAACATTTCATTCCTTAATATTACTGGACCTATGTACCACATTGGAAAAAAAAAAGTTTAATTGCTATGGGAAATAACGTGTGACCAAATACTCCTCAGCCAGTTCACAATGCACGTGGGAGCAACACGGTGCGGGAAACCGTGGGCTGGACATGAAGTAATCGAGTAGGCTGTCATGGATCAGGCAGGCGAGGCAGTGTGGTGCAAAACAGACTTTCATGCCAAGCTGCGACCTTTGAATGTCGGGTCTGTTTTGTTTTTCTGAAATTCGTTTGGATTTCTGCTGCTGGCTGTCTGCGTGGGCGTGCGTCTGTTCAATAGGGCTGCTGGACATATGCACATGATAGTCTCCTATAGGCACGACAACCCTGCAACATTTGGCGGTGTTTGGATGATTTCTGGCCCGCTTTGTGCAATGTACAGGAGATGAGGAGGTGTGCGTGAAACAGTAGGCTGGTTATGCAGCAGCAGAGTGGGCTGTCAAAGTATGAATAAGCTCAGTACTTTGCAAAAAAATTAGCCAAGTCCAAAGCCGAATCCTTTGAGAACTTAAGAGTCAATACATGCCTACTTAGCAGTGTTTACTTCAGTGTAACGTGCTTTCAGTCATAGTTAGGATGTGACCATTAACTTGTACAAAATCAATTGTGCAGTTTTCATAATATCTGTTTACTGTAATCAATTAAACTCATATTTGTGTAATCAAACTTTAGCTTGGTTACACAAATCTGAGAGTAACCATAATGTACCATTTTTACTAGAGGAATTCTTACTGCTGTTGAAGTCATCTGACCACAATAATGGTAAAACATTCTCGTAAAATATAAGCAGTAAAGCATCATCCTCATGAATAGGTAATTCATTATAATTTCCTCCCAACATGCTTCATCATTTTAAACACCATACTGGTTGTTAGTTGATAACCAGTGTGACCAATGGTTCTTCTGTAAGGATGTCATACTTTATAACCTCTTTTGAGATATTTCTGAAGTGCTTGGCATTTCTGGTTGACTGGCAGCCATGTGTGTTGGGAACGTTTTGCAAACTTTTGCAAAAAATGGCTGCTGATTTGGTGGCAGTGTCTGAAATTCGAAATTATGCTATAACTAGTGAAGAGTCATCATTTTGCTAATTTATAGTCTTTTTTTCCATGATTTATTAAGATAATGATGAACTTTAAATAATAAATTTTATAAAGCCCAAAATTACTTACTTTATTATTTCACCACTGTGGGTTTATTGACATCATTAAAAATCTGTATAGTTCAAAATTTAAGTTAGAATGATTTTTGTGTGCCTTTTAGCAGTACATTTAGAATACCTAATGTGACTTGTGTGCAGGAGTAGCCCATTTGATAATGGGTGACTTATTTTTTGTGTTTGTAGAGCTGTGACTGTCACTTATATCATTATTCCAATAAATGCCATAATATATCATGATAAATTTTTAAGTCTCCATTACCAACTCCACAAATGATTGTTTTTGCGCTGCAGGTTCAGAATATTAGCCAGTCAATGGAGGTGCTAGATCTGAGAACCTTCCGAGATCTCCAGTATGTAAAGAACACTGAGGGTCTAATGAAAGTCGTCGATGGAAAGCTGAAGGAGGCCTCTGAAAATCGCGGGAGCCGCAATCTGAGGGGCTTTCAGGTAATTGGCTTTTTGTCACTCTCCGTGCCTAGAGTTGCATTTACTATCTATCATGTGAATGTACTTGACATTAAATTACTTGATAAACATTGAAAGATCCAATGCAATCTTTGAAGCTCTTCACAGACAATAAAATTTTATGTGACCTCTGGTGGACTGGCATATAAACACTGGAAGTGGTAATTCCATTTAGGTATGTCAAATGAGTTATTGGGTCATGGGCTTAGGTAGGCTAATCTACTGTGCATCATGAGCTTCACATGCTCCAGGATGATTAAATCTGTGAACCACTAGAGGAGTTTTTTTTTTCCTATCTGACTCACTAAACATCCCTTCCACTATTTTTGAGCTCAACCTCTCTTACTCCTCCGTATAGTTAGGAGTAATCTGGCATCTGAGGCAGATAGAGTCACATTTGTCTCCACCATATCTTGCTCAAAGATAAGTTAACTGGCATTATCAGCAGGCCTTTTTATTTTTCTGTCAGCAGGCTGTCTTGCCCAGCAGAATTCTCCATATTTCCCACATTCTCATAGATATTAGATGGGTCATAAAATTGTTTGATTAAAAGATGCCCTGATAAATACTAAGTGCATTTTGCCGCTGGGTTGATGCAGAGGCAAGAATGAATGGCTGTGTTTAGCTTTCAGTGTGCTTTCTGAAAGCTACTCCAACAAAGGAAATGAAGATGTTTATGAAATTAATCTGTTCATCAGTAAAACTTGAGATTGCCACTCAGATAGAAAAGAAAACCAATGCGTTTGTCTAAATGCAAATCTAATGTTTTCATTCTTAAAAGACAGGGAAAAAATTGACGGGCTTTGACCAAAGAGGGTAGGCTGATAAATGTGCACAGTTTAAAGTTGCCAATGGCAGAGCGTGGGAGATTAACGAGAGTGAATTTTCTCAGCTTGAAAAAGTGAAAATTAGATTTATGATGTGGCGCCATGAGGCTGAGAGCTGCTCCATCACCAGATTTACGATAAACTCTAACAAGGAGGAAACAGCCCCTCCTGTGGTGGCCACACTTTATTGATAGACCTTTTTCCCTCTTGAGCCATCCACCTTGTGTGAATTCAGTCCGACTCTCCTGCTGCTTCCTGCTCCCCTGCCTAAGAACAAGTTGTTTCTTTTCACTTCTAAAATTATAAACCCCATTATAGCACGAGCTATAATGGTCCTAATCAAATCCGAGCCAAACAATTTTTAACACAGTAAAAGCAATGGCTTTCCAATTTATACATTTATATGTAAAACACAATGACTGAATTGTTAACAATAATTAAAAATCCACTTCAAAGATAAGTTCAGCTAGACAATTTACATAAAAGGGGATTTAGAGAGTTTCTGTGAAATAGAAGAATGTTGGATGACAGTAAAGTGTCCAATTAGAAAAGAGCAAAATGGAATTGAAAACTGTCTGCAATATATATTAATCTCATAAGATGTTGTCTAAGTACGGTGTTATGACCTGGTTAGGCGTAACCACACTATAACATAAAGATGATTCATCCTCATCAGACTTCAAGCAGCCAGAATATGCAGTTTATTTCTTGACAAGGCCTTAGTTTACATAAAATTTTAACATGGAAAGAAAAGTTGGCTGTAATGTCTGAGTGAACTTTGTGCCTAAAGCAATAAACAAAAAGAAACAAACAATCTGAATACTAGCCAAGCTTAGTTATTAAAAATAAATAAACCAAATGATAAAAACTTGCCTCTCTAATTAAAGATAAAAGGAGAAAAGTGGGATAAAAAATAAAGGCAATTCAGCTCTACAAACGTCTCAGTCTCATAAGCTTTGCTGGTGTTTATAAGGTACAGCAGAAGCAAATTGAAGCTGGTTGGGATGAGCAGAGGATGAATGACAGAGTCTGCAGCAGCATCTTCTTGTGTGTCATCTCTGCTTAGGCCATTAAACCATATTCTATATCTTCTGAATCCATCAATCAGAGAAGACAATCCACATAATCAAATTTTTACACATTGGAACAAAAACAGCAGAGATAACAGGGGGTGAAAAAATATCAACCAGACAAATGAACAATAAAAAAAGAGACACTCTTAAAACTACTGAGTTAAAAATGAATAAAAAAAACACTATTTCTGTTCCACTGCCAAAAGTTAAATTCCTACAACATTATCAAATTATGTTTATAAAGATTTCCATCTTATTTCCTATAATACATTGACTTTCTGAATATTATTTTACACCTAACTTAACCATAATAAAACTACTTTATACTAGCACTACTTTGTACTAACCATTTTGTGGACAAAGCCATTGTGAACCAAAAGTCAATGAAGCAACTGCAGCTTCTCCAATGTCTTATTTCATCTGTGGAAGTCTGATAGGTTGCTGAATTATCAATTGTTTGCTCTTAGATTGTTGATGAGGTTCTATCTACTTTATTCCCTCCTTTAAAAGGATGCATCAAAGTTTCACAATAATGAAACATTCCCCTGTTTATTCTCAAGTTCCTGTTGTTTTCCAGAAACTGAAACTTTGACAAACATTTTCCTTCGCACCTTCCCTGGTCATGTTTTTATTTTATTTATTTTTTTTTAGGAGGTAAAAGAAAAGGTAAACCAGCTGCTCCCTCTGCTGCCAGTGTTGGAACAATACAAGGCAGACGCTAAGATGATCCTGCGTCTCCGAGAGGAGGTGAGAAACCTTTCCTTGGTGCTGATGGCCATCCAGGAGGAGATGGGAGCCTACGACTATGAGGAGCTGAGACAGAGAGTCCTGCTGCTGGAGACCAGACTACACTCTTGCATGCAGAAACTAGGTATGAAACATGCTTGTCAGAAGGTGGGGGAGGGAAGGATTTTGCTACATAATTTTATTCAAGTGTCTTTTACAAAATAAAACAAACCTTAATTGCAGTCTTGCCAAAATAAAATCAGATACAGAAAAAGAAAGCTACATCTTCAGAAAAGTGCTGCTTCCATAAAAGTGCTGCTTCAATTTACTTCCATAAAAATCGCAGTGTGGTTTACTCCTAACAACTAGGTGCAATTTGACTGTTAATCATTTTTACCAGCAATTAATTCATCATAAAATAACAACTGGGAATGGTTGAGAGTTTGTCGGCAAGACAAGAGAAACATTTCCAGGTAATAACACAATATTACTCTGTTGAACCCAATTTTCTATGAGTTATGTAGTTTACGAGTGGTACTTGAATTCTGTTCCATCGGCTGCAGGCAGCTCTGCAGGGGCAATGAAACACAGAGAAACCGAAGAATTAAACTGAAAAAAAAGACAAAATCTCTAAAATTTTAATTATCACTTTACGTACTGGAAAGAAAGCTTTCTTCTTCTTCTACTTTAGATTTTTTTGTTTCAGTCATAGCAAGCCACTGAAAAATATTGATATTTTAAGGGATGTGCTTAGCTTTCATAGGTGTAAAAGCAATCTTTCTAAAAGTAGTGGTTCATGTCTTGAGGTTATATATATTTTGTATGCTGTCAACAGTTTCTTTTTGTTCCTGTTGAGCTCCAATAATCAACCTAAGGAGAGGAAACACTTTTCTTGAGAGACTAACTGAATGATTATGTTTTTATGTCACAAATTAACCTGATCCTTTTACTGATTAATACATTTACCAAGTTAGTCATTGATTGCTAAAAATGAACAACATTTTGTTTAATTATGTGCTACTTCCTTTAGTATTAGGTTTTCTTGAGCTGTTGTGCTCTGTCCTATCAGAGTTGATCATAAATGATTGTGCTTTTACTTCCTTTGCTGTTTTGGACTCACAGGTTGTGGAAAGCTCACCGGTGTCAGCAATCCGATCACGGTGCGAGCATCTGGATCAAGATTCGGCTCCTGGATGACAGACACCATGATACCCAGCTCAGACAACAGAGTGAGTCTCTCAGATCCTCTCTAGTTTGAGGCTCAAGAAGCACATGATGATATACTCAAACCTGGAGGAAAAAGAGAGTCATCTGAGCTCTTTCAGCTGCTCAGTATAAAAGTATCCATCACAGCGGTACTGCCATTGTTTGTCAGTGAGTGAGTGATTGTTTTGTCCAAGTTGCACTTCTCATGAATACCACAATATGACAGACACAAAGAGAATTCAGAATTCAAAGCCGAGCTACTGATTAATTGAATCTATTTTTCCTCTCCCTCCCATCCTTCGCATTCATTTCAAACTACAGTTTATTTATCAAAAAACAAACACAATATCTGTTTGGGATAACGTTTTCTAAAATCACTTAGCTTGTTTTCAGAGGGCTGCTGGGAATTTAAGCCAAAAGTCGTGGCATTTCATATTGGTATGTATGACTAGGAAAACTGGTATGTATGCAGCAAGGCAAAAGGTAGAAAGAAAATAAATGGAACCAGGAACAGTGGATTATTACCTATTTTTAGCAGGAAACAGAAGCTGATCAAATTTAATAGGGAAGATTATATTGGCCTTTCTGCTAACTGCAATAAATCATAACAGGATAAATAGGTTATGCTTTCAGAAAAGGGCAATTTTCAACATGGGATGTGCTGATTATCTTTGTGTTTAATCTCCTAATTTGCTGAGATGATGTTACCCCTCTATGTCTGAGTCAGTCTGGTGTATTAAAAGCATCAACATTCATAGGAATAATTTTACTCTTATGCAAAAATGTTGTGAGGCAGCCAAATAAACAAAAAGCATAAAGGTAGTTAGAATGTGCCAGAATTTTAGCCTGGCTCAGCCTCTTTCTGCTACTCAGCTCGAGGGACACATTCAGTAAACACAGACGAAACCAAGCTTAATGGTTTATAATAAACTCTGCTCCATAATTCATCTGATGTACCACACAAATTCAGCTACTTCCCATTCCTTTCTCCTTTACTGCAGAGTAAATGTGGCTTTGTGCACATAAGAAAGACGGAGAATAGGACCAGAGAGAATCAGAGAAGACAACCAGAACACAGCTCCATCTTTCCAGAGGTGTCTTAGTTCCATCAGGGACAAAATGAATAATTAAAAAAATATTTAATCCAGTAATAGATTAATCAGATTATTCATATATTTAGCTGTTGCTTCTTCTTGAGGGAATGAAAAGGGGGATTCAACCACAGAAGCACAATGTCAGTGGAGAGATCCACTGAGGATGCTCAGGCAAAAAATAGAGTTGCTAAATGCATTGATTTTCTGTAAATGTGGACTGGAAAGGGCAGAGAGCGCCAGCAGTGGTTCCCTGCAAAGCACAGGCAACATCTCTCCCCGCATGCAAGCAAGATCAATAGTTTTGAACACACACATATCGGTATGCACAATACATGGAGAAATACACCTACTCTCATACACGTATTTCCACAGCACACACTCATTCTTACTTTGCCCAAGGCATTGCTTCAAGCTCTAAAGAACATAAGAAAGTTCCTGCAGATAGGTGTATCAGGTAAAACCAATAATTTCTGATAAGCCTTAGGTATTTACATTTGGGTGTCTTTATTCAATAGTTCCTCAGAGTGGGATCCTTTTGTTCAATGTTTTCTATTTGGTTTGCTCTTTGTTTTGGACAGGTGTGGTCCATGGATGGATACTTCAAGGGACGGCGTGTCCTAGAATACCGCACAATGAGTGATTTCATGAAGGGGCAAAACTTTGTTCAGCACCTGCTGCCGCATCCTTGGGCCGGCACTGGCCACGTGGTCTATAACGGCTCGCTGTACTACAACAAATACCAGAGCAACATCATCATCAAATACCACTTCCGGTCTCGAAGCGTGCTGGTGCAGCGCAGCCTCAGCGGAGCTGGCTATAACAACACCTTCCCATACTCCTGGGGTGGCTCCTCTGATATTGACCTCATGGCAGACGAGAATGGTCTCTGGGCTGTTTACACCACCATAAACAATGCTGGGAACATTGTCATCAGCCGCCTGGAGCCCCAGAGTCTGGAGATTCTTCAAACCTGGGACACAGGCTTCCCAAAGCGCAGTGCCGGAGAGTCTTTTATGATCTGTGGCACACTCTACGTCACAAACTCTCACCTTGCTGGTGCCAAGATCTACTTTGCCTACTATACCAACACATCAAGTTATGAGTACACAGATATCCCCTTCCACAATCAGTACTCCCACATCTCCATGATGGACTATAACCCTAGAGAGAGGGTTCTGTACACCTGGAACAATGGACACCAGGTCCTCTATAACGTCACACTTTTCCAGGTCATTAAGACTTCTGGAGACTGAGGGCTCCAAGAAAAGACCCACTCAAAAAATGCTGTGATCATTGTTCTAAAAGGACAAAGGAGCAGGGTAGAGATGGGTACTGGCTGAAGAAGGGGGACTGGGGCTTGAGGTTTTAATCTGTGGGTACAGGCTTGGGTGTTTTTTTAAAGAATTTCAATCTTCATAGAGTGCTATTATTCACATTCTCCAAAAAAATGTCCAACAAAAGGTTCATAAAGACCTAAAAATTGAGCGCCTTTCTGTTTTTCTTTATGTGATGAGTAAGCATGGTTCTTTTTATCTGTGATGACAAATAAACATCCACTTTAACATTAATGACGTGGAATTCTTATTATTGTTTTGTGTCAAAGCAGGACTGAAAACTTTAAAGATCAAAATGAACAAACTAAGAAATAAAAAAAAAATCAGACAACAGCTAACAAGCAAATTCATTCAGCTTAAATTTTGTGTATAATGAGGGGATATGTAATAATTTATTGGTTATTGACTAATAAAAACTGATTTAAAAAAGTTAAATATATACTGGAAAGGAAGAATGGCAAGAGCACTGAGAAAAAAGGCTAAGAAGGAGACAAGACAGCAAGGTCACAAAGAAGGAAGTAGGACATTTCATGGAAGGACTAAAGACCATAACAAGTCTAAAATATGATTTCCACTTGAACAGCAGCTATGTTAATTTTTATGTTTGATGCTAATTCACATAACAATAAGGTTACAGCATCTGAACAATAAGATTATCTCCAGATAAGCATGAACCATAGCAATAACAATTTATTTGAAAAAGCCATGGCAAAGCCTTTCGGGAATTGTGGGCAGTAAAAGTGCTGTTCCACTGACACAAATGTGGTTAAATTTAACAGCAACAGCCACCACTTACATCTCATTTCACCAAGGTGAACTCAAAGTGAAAGCTGAACATCTGGTAAAAGGTGCAGGTGCAGGTGGCGGCGCGATGGGCTGAGAAGAACACCGGGAGTTAAGAGGCAAAATGTAAAAGGCGTTTACAGCTGAGCTGAGAAATGACACATCACAGTTAGTGTTCCTTGTCAAGCTCCAATCTGCTTTAATCTTGTTAGGCGCATAGTTTTTTTTCTTTTCTTCCCTAGAGCTGTTTGCAGAGAAATGCTCAAACACAGTGAGACACTATTGGCATTAAAGTCTAAACTGCAAACCTTTCGTTGCATATTCTTTATTATTTATCATGGGAAATCCAGTAAGAGGAAACATTGGTTCTCCCTGCTGTAAATAGAAGAGGGTAGGCAGCTGTCCCACTTCGTTGTCTTTTTATCTCTTTCATGTTTCAAGCCTGTGAGGATGCAGTGGCCATGGTGGACCAAAAAGACGTAAATGTCATAGGAGGTCCCACTTTTCTCATCCTTTGTAACCATGGTGATCCTATTCATCCTGGTTGACCTTTCTTTCAAAAAGGGTTTTACTGAGGAGACGTTAGGGCTTCATACACCTTAGTGGGTGACATTTAAGGTATGACAATGCAGATGGATAAAGAGCCATCAGCAAACAAATAATTAAAATGAAAATGGTTGGTTGAATTGATCTTTTATGGCACAAATTCTCAGGGAAAAAGCCAACCTAACGAATTAAGAAATCACTTCAATATAGTTAATTGAAATGGAGTTATGTTAAGAGTCAAAGTCCAATTACCATCTAAGCTTTAGCCAATCATAACACAGTGAAAATCAGGTGATCAAGAAAACAGCTTTAGATATTTACATTGCTTCTTCTGGACCTTTACCAGAGCCAATTCAGGAAGAGTAGTCACATATTGTTTAAACTAAAACCATGCAAAGGGAGAACTAGATGCATATATTCAAGTATTCTTATGCTGGGTAAACCTTTTAATATTTCTTTAAAATTAGGCTCACCCCTCTTTTCTGTTACATATAGCTAACATAAAGTAGACCAAGTTAAACTAGCACATCCAATTTAATTTACAGTCTATTAAATCATGTTCTTCACCATGACTACAACCTGAGTGGGTTTTTTTTCCAACCAATTTAATCTGAATTACATCATCCCCCCTATAGTTCTCTATGTATATGTAATAATCCAGTGTAGTCCAGTGACAAAACCAACAAACTTTCAAACTTCAATTGAAGGGGAAAAAATTATCTTGTTTTTTGATGTGTAAGAATATAATTAAGTCAAGTTTATTTGTTTGACATTTCATTTAAAAAAGGCATTTCAAAGAGTTTTACTCGATAAAGACATCACACAATAACCAATTACTAAACATCAAGCAACAAAAATGACATGCCATCATCAAAATCCTCAAGAATAATCAAAATTATTGAATGATACATCAATCATTATATTAATCAAAGTTCAAGTTATTCAAGTTATGAATCAAAGGCAACTTATTGTTCCTTTGTGCGGAGCTTCTCAGCTCTTTCCTGAGTTCTGGCTTTTGTGCATATTTTTTAGATTCTTATTTTGGTCTTATTCCTTGTTTAACTAGAGTAATCCTTTTCTTGTTCTGTTCACTTCCCTTTGCATTCATTCTGTCTTTATTAGCAGAGGTGGGTAGAGGGGCCAAAGGTTGCACTCAATTAAGAATCGCATTAAATTATATGTTTTTGCCCACTGAGAAGTAAGAATAGAAACATGTTTGGATGAAAGATTACTCAAGTACTGAGTAAATGAACATGGCATTCGATTTTATATGTTCAAAATTATGTAATCAGGCAACACATTATAAAGTTTTGTGCAAACTCAGGTAATAAAAAGGATACGTAAAAATCGTTAATACTGTTACAAATCTTTAAATATGAGCAGAAGACAAACATTTCCAATCAATTTTTTCAGAATTTAAAGCTTCTTAAGCAAACACATGCTGTAAGTAAATTACATATAATACACATTTTGCATCCACTTAACCCTCAAATTTAACAGCAGGTTCAACAGATAGAAAATTACATTGGAAAAACATTTAATCCCCAAACTGTACTGTGCTGTTTTCACCCTTCCTCAGCTTTCAGCTAGACTTTTTTTTCTTACCCACAGGCATTCTTATACATTGAATCTGGAGCCAAGAGCATGCTCTCAGATCACATTTCTAATGCCGAAGATCTTAAAACAGATTCTTACACAATCCCTATTAGAGCCCCTCACTTCCTGAATAATTTACAACTATCCCACTGCTAAAAAAAGGCTCCTATCAGTGGTGGTGACACCAGTCATCACCAAGTGCTTTGAGAAACAGGCTCGGCAGCACTCCCACTAGTCTGTGCAACAACAAAACAAGCACAGGTTGTGCTATACACCCAACTTTTTAACCACGCTGCACCCACTGGAATAAATAATAACAAAAGAAGAAAAAAATAGGCAAGGTTACCCTTTGCTTATTTTAGCTCATCAATTATTACAATTATCCTAAATGATCTGATCAGGAAATTACTGAACTTAAATTTGTCAGCCATTATTCTGCCACTGGATTTTGAACTTTCTGACTGGCAGCTATCACTCTAAACATCTGTCTGCTTATGGATAATAAGATGCAATCCCAATGGTAACTTCCATTGCACGCAAGCTAATGGCTTGACAAAGAAGGCCTCAAGAGATTCTACAGATCACTCAGCAGCTCATTTTATCCTCAAATTTCCTTTGTCAACAGTGTGAATTTTGGAAAAAATTGTCATCCAATGGTCTAAAAACAACTACTATGTCATATTTGCATGTTATTTTGATGTTGCACCGTTTAGGGGACTGCAAAGGCACTAAAGTCCTTATTCCTCAGCCTTAGCAAACCTCATTAATGCAAAGAAGAATCCCAAAAGAAACAAGTGACTACAGAGTGTCTTTGTCAGCTTGATTTACTCAACGTGGCCATGCACATGCATTATAAGTTCAAAAGAACTGATTGAGTGCAGGTGGCAGTGATAGAATTGCTTTAATGGGGTTCGTAGGTTGCATGTAAGAGTGGTAGAGATGCAGATGAAATCTTGGGCACTAAGAAGTAAACCCAGCATTTTATCCCTGAGCTGTCCTCGTGAGAAGGTTTATTATGAGGGACATGTCAGCTCAGCTGCAGTCCTTCATGTGGTACCTTTAGATGCTGACTGCTGCTTAAATCAAAGAAAATTATTTTAAGAATCTCATTTTCTATTAAAAAAAAATCCATTGTCTTGGATTCTATCCATCCAACCATCCAAAAGACATGCAAAAAGGCCCCAGGTCGGGGCAGGGGCCCAAATCCTGCTATGATTTCATATCTGCTCATTTTTGTTTTTCTTCTCTGCACCTTTTTTGCATCATCTTCCTTGTTAATTGTGCCCTCCCAGCACTTATTTGCATTGTACTTTGCCTCTTTCAGATTCACAATGATGCAGCTTTTTTTCCAACTTCCTGCCTCTTGAGGTGACATAACCCTGCAAGCAAGGCTTTGAAGAATCGCTTCCTCATGATTAAACAAAGCTTACCTTTCTTTCTCTCAGATAATTGATATTCATGTTTAAACTCAGAAGCACTGTGAAGGATGCATATATAGAATGACATGTTTGCAAGAAAGAAGGCAAATCAACTCAGATTTTCTGGAAACCTTGCTTCTCAATTGCCTGCTTAATTATTTTCTGAATCATTATTCAGCTCATACATCTGAAATCTTTTTACTGCTTAGAGCCAGACAATAGACCTACCCTTGGCTGCAGTCATGGGGGATGCCATTTTGTAACCCTCGTGTCTCGAAATTGCTCACTTCACTGATGCAGTAATGATTTACCAGGAAGCTCTAAACTGAGTGCTTTCTTGGATCCACCGTCTGTTTCTTTAATTGCAGTATGATGCTGGTCAAGGGATCAGGAATCAGTGATAATGTGGCTGCAGTAAAACGGTTTCCAGAAACACACAGAAACACTATAGCAAATCCACCTGCAGAAACAAGTGGGCATCTATGCTACTTTAATCATACCTCGCTCTCTCATATTACAGCATTGTAATATGAGATATGCTTTATTTGATATATATCATCAAATAAAGCCGCTCAGTTAGTTTTAAACTTAGACAAACTTTTTAACTTAAACTTAAGCCCTTTTGTTTTTTTTAATAATAAATCAACTAAATTTATAGCACCTGTCCAGTCATATTTGCAGGTAAAAATGCTTTACACTGCGGACACACATTTTGTACAACGCCATGCAGATAAGTGTGCATCTTGGAACAGGGTGCCTTGACCAGGGGGCACATCAACATGTGACAGAGCTGAAATCAAACATTCAATCTAATTGACAAATGTTCTAGCACTTAGCCACATGGCAATATTATTTTCTAAGCCATGTGAAGGAGGACTTGCTTTCAATCAC